TACAAAGAAGAACACTTGAATGAAGAAGCCTCAATAAAAACAACAGACCAGCTTTTTATGGCTTGATCTGAACCAACGAGGAATTTATTTTCCATCTGCCCTTTGTTTCCTGTTTATTGCATGAAAATAAATTCAGATACCCAAAAAACTTTAAGTCTCACTGTAGAGGGACTACATTCTGTGGAGCGATACAATACGTTATCTGGGCTGCGTACCTGTGGATGTAGAGCTCTCTGTTGTTGGGCAGGTCATAGTTGATGATGAGAGACACTTGAGGAACATCCAAACCTCGAGCCCAAACATCGGTCGAAATCAGGACGCGACTGAAACGCATCAAACACAAACACATTGCTTGATCGACCATTAAACCCGTGACAGACACCTGTATAGCTGCGTGTCAACACACTGAGGTATGCTGTGTTGGAACACCTCAATAAAAGATATGACTGTAAATACAATCTGCGGACAACACACTCTTGGTCCTGGTGTGTGTTACCTGGCTCCTGATCTGAACTCCTTCATGATGGACTCCCTCTCTTTCTGAGGCATGTCTCCGTGCATCGATGACACCGTGAAGTTGGCCTCTCTCATCTTCTCTGTCAGCCAATCCACCTGAAACACAGCACAGAGACTCAGGAATCAGCTGATCACTCAGAGAAGTCAGTCCACTGACTGTTGGGATCTGACAAAATAAGTATTTTTCACTGAAGCTGCAGCTGATGATCACCATCAGTACAGTGTGTGTGTGCATGCACAAACTGTTTCCGACCTTCCTCTTGGTGTTGCAGAAGATGACGGCCTGTGTGATGGTCAGGGTGTCGTATAGGTCACAAAGAGTGTCGAACTTCCACTCTTCTCTCTCCACAGCCACAAAGAACTGCTTTATCCCCTCCAGAGTCAATTCATCGCTGAGGCCGAGAGACATTCACACACACACACACAGGGAGAGAGAGAAATCAGGTCATTATTACCGTTAGGACTGAAGATGCTGCTTGTCAGTGCTTCTCTTTTTGAATGATTTCTCAATATTATGAGATGTTCTGAATGTTGAGAGACCTGTTATAAAAACAGCTTGTGGCCTGAATATTTTCTGAACAATTCACTGGCTGTCTTGTTTGCTGGGATTTGCATGTTTCTCGAATCAACACTTTTTTCTAATCTCATTATTTCTCAATATCTTCATGATTGATTCAGGAAATAATGCGTCTCTGAACCAACCGTTTGACCAAGATGCGGATGGGGTCAGTCATGAACTTGTTGGTCATCTCCAGGATCTCGTGTGGCAGTGTGGCACTGATCAGGACCACCTGTGTTGCTGGGGGCAAGTAACGGTACACGTCGTAGATCTGCTCCTTAAACCCTGAACAGAACAAAGTGTCACCGAGGCTCAGTCTGTTTCAGATACACACCAGCGCATGTTTACAAAGGCTCATAAGCATTTTACCTAAAACTGACCACTTGGTCCACAGGCTCTCTCTGCACTAAACCTCATTTAGTTTTTATTAAGTTTTGAAAACAGTATCACCTTTATTGAGCATCTCATCAGCCTCGTCCAGAACCAGCATCTTGATGGCCCTCGTCCTCAGACTCCTGCGACGAATCATATCTACAGAACAACAAACAAAGCTCAGCTCCCTGTTGGCTGCTTCAGTCAGAGGTCCACCTTCCAGCATTCAGAACAGAGCCAGGTCATAGTGAACCCAACTAGTTCATCAGTTGGTCTTCATGTCTGTTTTATCACAGTAATCATGACACAGGGTTGCTGTCAAAGTTTTTTTTTATCAACACTCCTGACATAGGAACCCCTCCTGTCTGCACCACCAGCTGGAGCCTCCAGAGGAGTCCCGACTGCGCAGCAGCTGCCAGGAGGCGGTGCTGACACACAGAGGTGTGCAGGTGCTGTGCGGAAGAGACATTGCGGACACTGAGCTCACAAAAAGACACGGTATGGACACAAACTGAGTAGGTTTATGACAGATCCTGTGCAGGATGCAGCTGCTCCATCTGCAACACACGCTGCCTCCACAGAAGCTCATCAAAACGTGACGGTATTATTAAGAGGGAAGGTGGAGCCGACGGCGTGAGCCACTCTGATACTCTTGCAGCTCCACTGATGATGCACAGAGTCCATCGTCAGTGAAAACCCTGCTGCATTTATGCAGCTCTCGTCTCCCTGGATCACACATTAAAATCATAGATGAGGCTTCTCTGGATGGAAAACGTTACCACAGCAGGATCAACACTGCAGCAGTTCTCAATGGGAACAAAGTGATCTTGGAGCCAAATGCCCCAGTTAAAGCAAACTACAACTTAAAAGCATGACTCTGCACCCACTACACACTTCGTCTGCACTCACAATGAAACACCACAGGGACAGTCAAGCACACCCTTGCTCCCTGGTTTCCCACAGGAGACACATTTCTGGAGCAAAGAGCTGGACTGCAGCTGGCTCAGCAATCAGCTGACTCACCAAACACTCTTCCAGGTGTCCCAGCCACCACGTGCTGACCATAGTCCAGCTTCCTGATGTCTTCTCCCACATTGGTCCCTCCGATGCAGGTGTGACACTGGACGTTCATGTAGTCTCCCAGAGCCAACAGCACCTGGGCACACAGGAGAGAGAGCCAATCAGAGACCAGGACATGTCTGCACATTGCACCTGCTCCCAGGTGAGGGGCTGTGGACCGTGTGGGCAGGGCTACCTTCTGAATCTGTCCAGCCAGCTCTCTGGTTGGAGCGAGGATCAGCGCCTGGGTCTCCCTCACCTGCCGAGAGGAAACACATCATAGTATGATGTCATCACCTCCACACATGAAGGGTTAGCATTTATCCTGGATGATGATAGTCATCTTAAATGTGATCTCATTGGTCCATCTCACTGTCAACTGACTGATCAATATCCCTGGTCCTTACAAGCAAAACGATTTATGTCCTGATATGTTACAGTGACTCAGACATGTGACATATACATGTTCAGACAAGCGTTCATGTGTCCTTTTATGTTCACAACTTATGTTGTTTCAGCATTTTTTCTGAACTTTATTTCTCACAGAGGTAAAGCGCTAGTTACTTGAAGTGCACCTGTGATGCGCACAGTGAACGGGCTGTGTGTAAACACTGTTGGCAGGTTCACAGTCATAGGTCGACTAACTGCCCACACAGTCAAATGCTAGTGACTTTATTCTCTGCTATGGCAGAATGATGTTAAATATGGGATTGAATGTCACAGCCATAAAAATCAGTGTACAGTCCCCTTGGATGTTTTACCCTTTTATTGATTTTATAAATCAATCATGGTCAAAATGATTTGGCTTTTTTGAAACAAAAATAAATAAAAAAAACTAATGTGAACGGTTACACTGTGCTTTGAGAAAAAACACAGCTCACTTCCAACTGTACTGTCTAGAGAGCTACTTAGCTGTGGGAGACAGGCAAGATCACAACAATGGTATAAAGCTTATATTCGAACTGATGCTTGAAATGGTTAATTAGTTGTTTAGCTATTACATGATACTGGTGTTTATTACATTGGTGAGCATAGGCTAAATAACAAAGTCCCAGCTTTAACTGCTGGGTAAAGTTTATAAAGAACTGCAAAATCTATTACTCCCTCTCAATCAGCCTGGCTATTACTGCAGATGTTAAGTCACATCTGGCAAGTCCATTTGGGACAGGGAGAGGGTAGGGGCCTGCTGTCAGACAAAGTCCACCAGAACTTGCTCAGCATTAGATACAGAATGGGGATTTTTACTCACCGGGTTGTAAATACACTAAATATTGGCTTAAAACGGGCCAGAGCCCACCGGGCCACTGGATAGATATAAGTACTGACCTGGATGTCGAGACACTGAAGTACTGACACACAAAAGGTGGCTGTTTTTCCTGTCCCAGACTGAGACCTGGACAGAGTAGAGAGCAGCAGTTAAAGCACACGGTGGATGTGTAGAGGAGTGCCACAGTGCTGAGGTCAGTTTGAGGCCTTACTGAGCGATGACGTCTCTGCCTTTGATGATTTGTTTTATGGCTCTCTGCTGGATGGCCGAAGGCTTCTCAAACCCTGAAGCACACAACACACACAGGCACATTAAACATCTGCTTATAGCAACTGGACCCTCATTCAGGTTCAAAACTAGGCCTATAAATTATCAGCCTCATCACAACACACTCCCATATCAGCTCTCTTAGCAAGCTATCCGATGATTGCAGATACTTCAAAACATGCCACGATGCGATTGGGCTCACAGGTTTATTAAACATTATGTGCCTATTTCACAGTTATATTTTTATTAGTTTTATTGAGCTCATCTGGTTTCCTTAATCTTCAGGAATAATAAAGTTAATGCGTCTAAGTTCTTGGCTGCTGATCACACTTGTACAAATATATCTGACGAGATCAACCTGGAACTGGAGAACCTGTGACAGACATTCACACTTTCTTACAGAGTTCCAGGAAACAATTAACCCAAATTACAATCAAGGCACTAATAGTTAACTAGGCCCTAGTTAACACTATATGATCTGTCTATTCAACAGTGTCTACTGTAATTAAATGCCAGTGTTCCCCTGTCTGACAAAAGCAGTCTATCCCCACACACTTGCAGCTGAAGCTCTGAAAACAACACTATCACATTTGACGAATATTAAAACCAAGTTTAAGTTAGCCGGTTAAATGCTAAAGACAGACGTTTCACCGTAGTGGCCACTGATAAGCCAGCCCACGTGTATATTCCTGAAGATTTAATGTTTTTCGCGTCTCCCAAACCAGACGAGACAGAGACGTATTCAGCTGAACTCGGCCCTCCTCCTGTAAACACCTCGGCACCGACTTTCCGTTTTTACTTTCGGAGGCAGCTCGCTAGTAGCAGCTGCGACAGTCGGACTCATAACACCGACACCGACACCAGACTTTAGAAAGTGTAACGTTACCCAGAAATAATAACAACCCCTTAGACTATTATCGACTGGAAGCTAAGTATACGATCTGCAGACCAGTGGTACACTGCGCAGTAACTTAGCGTTAGCTGGAGGAAGTGTTAACGTCCATGCTAACGGAAGCCCCGGTGAGATTAAAACCGACAAAAACCAAAATCAGCCTTGCGTATCCAAAATCACTATAACACTGTGTACGTAATCCAGTTTAGTGAGATGTATATAATTAATCATTTTTAAACACCTCGGTGATTAACAGTTATCTTTAGCATACTCGGCTAACTCTTCCCGATGAGGCCCTACGGATCCACGTCCTACCGTAGGCATAGATGCCGCGGAGCAGGTCCTCTCGGAGGCCCATGGTGTCGAAGGTGGGGGTGACGTCTACCTCCTCGCTGGTCTCAAACTCCACCTTGGTCATGTCCTCCTCCTTCAGGATCCTCTTCCTGCCCTGCGTCCCAACAGAAGCCATCTTCCTCTGAGAGTTCTATTCGGGTAAAACTCACCGAGAATCTGTTAAGAACCCCAAACCTTCGGCGCTGCTTAAAACAGGTGAAGAAAGGGCGCCGCACGTGTCGCACCGATTACGTATCTAGTGAGCGACGCGTTCCGTGACGTCACATCCATGGAAGTCTTTTTTTTTTTTTTATTGACAAAGAACAGTCAGACAATAATACAGTTACATTTGCCAAAGAGAAGGAGAGTATTCATATGACAGATAGATATAAACTTTATTGCAGACTCAAGGTCCAAATTCTGAACGACAAAACAACAATAAAAGCAATAAAAACCACCACAAAAACTACAACCAGTACACGATAGTCCCTTTAAGAGGCAAGTATACCAGTGTTTCCGGAGTACCGATGTATATCACATGTAACTGTATGCAATGTTAGTGTAATCAGTCCCTATGTTATAAAATATTGGAATTCTCTCCGCTCCTACACAAGCAGCCAGATGTCTTCGTCGTTATTACTGTCCTTTATTTAATCACTCAACAACTTACGTGCTGTTGTTTCAGCCACAGCACACGCCAACAGTCGCTTTACTCCCAACATGCATCACTCAACAACAATGGTACTTCGCTCTCTCATCCCCACACACTCCACAGCGCCCCCTCTCACATTCTTTCAGGCAATAACATGTGGAACCATATAACTGGATGCTAAACATTATAACCATTACAATATTTTCAGGGGTCAGAGAGAAGTAGTTGACGTTGACAAAGCGATGCGTTAAAATGATTTAACGTTATTTGTCTAACCGACAGTCAAAAGACCTCTGTTAAACTTCATATACATATGAATTTGAGATTTACGCGTTAGTTACTTGGCCAATACTCTTAGGGATGTGCTTGTTTTCATTATCGATTAATAGTTTATCCATACCTGACATCAAGAGCCCGAGTGTCTCCTATATGTTGTGTATTGGGATGCAACCTCCAGCTCCGCCTTGCTTCTTCTTCATTTGTCCCACCGTTTGTCATATAAATTTGAATGTTCCACTGGGAAGAGGTCATTTTATAATCCATTGTAATCCTTTTATTGCTTGTGCCCACATCTTTTTTTTTTTTACATCCTCTGTATAAACAATGACTGTGGATACACTCGTGTATTGTTCTAACACTGTTGTAACATCTGACAGTGCTAATTACTCAGCTTGTTCTAATGATGATGTATGCTAACATGATGTATTGTTTTATATACACATGCTAGGTGCTGATTATTCATTCCATGTTGTCAGGTATGTTATCTGAATATGCCCTTTTGATATGTTCCACTGGGAAGAGATTGGGTTTGAGGTCCAGCAGCACATTGTTCATCTCATGTTGTCAGATTAAATGGAGCATGCCTCCAAATGCAGTCCTGGTGTTTCGTGGGTCCTTCAGCTACCACACACGCACCAAGTACAACAAATCAAATCAAATCAAATTTTATTTGTATAGCACCAAATCACAACAAAAGTCATCTCAGGACACTTTACAAAGTAAGGTCTAGACCTTACTGTTATCAATATTATTACATAGGGAAAACCCAACAAATCTCCCTTGAGCAAGCACTTGGCGACAGTGGGGAGTGTTAGGTATTTTAGTCAGATAGATATTGGTTAGGTACTTGTTGTATTAGAAATGTTTTTAGTGTAGACAGGATGTCTAGCTCAGGCTGTTAAATGCTTACTCATTTTCATGAGTTACTCCAGGTTGTTTATGGTCAAGGATAACTAGATAGAGGGTTGATTACTGTATGACGTGTTTAATCTTAATCATAATATCTTCTTATGCCTAATGTCAGGACATGTCACTGAATGTCCTGTCAGAATGTTTTTAGATACACACCACTTAATCAACACACACACACACACACATTAATTTTCTTCATGTTTTGACTATTGCAATGGCCAGCTGCACGGCTGGCACCAGAGACATCACGGTTTGACGTCCCTGTGTAGAATGGGGTTAGCCCAAAACAGATATAATGTACAGGCTTGTTGGGTTCAGGGTCTTTCATCTTCCAGCTGCCTGCATGCATGTTTGGGGTGCAAGATACCGGAGCGTGTAACGTTAATTTTTACCGGTGTTCATTGAATAAATCAGCCCTGTATTGAAAATACTTGGACTGCCTCGTCTCTCAGAATTAGTATGGTACAAGAACTGGAAAGACTTCAGGAGGAAAAACTCCTTTTAACGGAAGAAACCTCCGACAGACTCCAGCTCTTGGTGGGTGGCCTTCTGCCTCGACCGGTTGGGGTGAGTGGATAGAGGAGAGACAAAAGAAGAAAAGGAACAACAAACAGTCAAACACTGGTTAGGTTGATGTGGCCGATGACTGCTCATCAGAGACGTAGAGCTCCAAGGCCAGGGCAACCTGCAGAAAGGTACAGGGAGAGAGAGAGAGGACACACTACGGGAGAGAGGGGGCACAAAGTG